GGTTTTTCAACTTTTAGTCTAGAATCCCCAGCAATACTTCGTAAGGATTAAATTTTCTATTTTTTTGACATACGGGTTTTCTCTGTCACCCAGGCCTGGAGTCAGTGGCATGATCATATGCTTGCTGAACCTCAAACACTAGCTCAAGCAGATCCTCTGCGCCTCAGCCTCAGCGTAGCGCGGACTACAGGTGAGAGCACACACCAGCTTAATTTTTTATATTTTTAGTAGAGATGGATCTTGCTTTTGGTCAGGTTGGTCTCAAACTCCTGACCTCAAGCAATCCTCCTACCTCAGCCTCCCAAGAGTGCTAAGATTATAGGTGTGAGCCACCGTGCCCAGCCCAAAGTGCTTTTTTTTTTTGGCGGGAGGAATGCATGAGAGTATATTCCAGATATTACCGTATTAGAAACCAAATAAAAATTGAAAATATTTCTGTTGGTGTAAAATAATAATCCCATTGCATGTTAAACAGAATAAATCTTTATGCCTTAAGAAAAAGTAAGTATATTTCCCCTTCCTTGTTTGTTGGCACCTGCCTGTGCGACCCACTTCCCACATTTGGGACCGCCCATCCTTACCGCCTAAACCCTAAAATGTATTCTATGCGTGGTGTTTGTTGTTTTTGGTTTTTTTTTTTGGAGACAGGAGTCTCACTTGTTGTCCAGCTAGAGGTGAGTGCCGTGGCGTCAGGCCTAGAGCTCACAGCAACTCCAACTCCTGGGCATCAGCGATCCTACTGCCAATTACTGGATACAGGCATGTGCCACATCCTGCTGGTTTTTTCGTAGTGTGTTATTATGTGGCGATTAATTTCTTTGTCTTTTGTAGTAGATGACTGGTGTGGTGGTTTTCCTCGCGGCTTGCTCGGCTGTTCAAACTCTGCTATGCAATCCGCCCTGCCTCGGCCTCCCAGGTGATGGTCTGATGTTAGGATTACAGGCGGTGGGCCACCGCGCCCGCCAAGTATATCTCTTATAAACAGCTTATCATTGGAGCCTTCAAAAAATTCATGTATATCCTTTCTGTGAAAAAAAAAAAAAAAGTTTTTTTTTTCAAGACAGGGTCTTGCTCTGTCACCCAGGCTGGAGTATAGTAGCATGATCATAACTCCCTGGAACCTCAAACTCCTGGGCTCAAGCGATCCTCCTGCTTCAGCCTCCCAAGGAGCTGGGACTACAGGCATGTGCCACCACACCTGGCTAATTTTTCTATTTTTAGTAGACATGGGGTCTTATTCTTGCTCATGCTGGTCTGGAACTCCTGACCTCAAGCTATCCTCCCATCTCAGCCTCCCAGAGTGTTAGGGTTACAGGTGTGAGCCGCCGCTGCGCCCGGCCTGAGAGTAGTGTTTTGTAAATAAGGCTGGCGTTAGTATTTTAAGAAGTGGTCGCCGTGGTGCTAAGTGTGTGTTTCGGGCCCTGGGTCTGAGGCTGAGCGCTCGGAGTGGAGACAGTCAGGTGGCAGGAGGCGGAATGGGGAGATGGAAGGTTCCAGATCTGAGGGCCTGAGCAGGGGCGGTGGAATCTCAGGGATGGGGGAGTGCTGGGGAGAGAAAGAGGAGGACACGCCGGATCTGGTCCTGGGCGACCCGTCAGAGCCCAGCTGGGCTTTCCTGCAGGACGCAGTCAAACTCCTTCCACTTCTGCAAAACCGCTGGCAGCCTTCAAACAAAAGCCAAAAACCAAAACGGACGCACTCCCGAGCCCCTCTGGGCAGACGGCCGCTGCCTTTGCTGTGCCTTTTGACCGTCCTTTGCCGGGAGAAGATGAGAGTGGCTGGAGAGCCCGGTGGGTGACAGCTCAGGGGACCGCCCCCTCATCCACACGCTGGGCGTCCCCCGCTGCAGGGACAGCGAACGATGCGGCGTTGGAACGGCGCCGACAGCCGAACAAGTGGGGCTCGGAATGTTCCGGAGAGTCCGCGTCCGGGCAGCGGAGAGCGAGGAAGGCTGCTCAGGGCGGGGCGTGCCGAGGACAGGGGAAGCCGTGGGCGCCAGGCTGGGGGCCGGCCGCGGCCAGCTGCGAGCGGAAGCCACCCTGACGCTCCCTTGGCCTCTGGGCCTCAGTTTCCTCACTTGTAGATGAGAAGATGGGCCACAGGTCTCCTGGAATCCCCCGGCATCCTACCTGGCACGCGGCAATGGCTCACGATTATTAAGCACTTACTGTGTGCCAGCGCTGTGCCAAGACTTTGTTCAAGTTACTGATTTCATCCTTGCTGCAACCCTCCCCGGCGGCTTTATTATCTTCTCTGTGTTGCAGGCGACCAGGGAGGCCGCCCGGCTGGGAGGTAGAGGGAGATTCCACCCCGAGGGCGGATGTAGCCCTTTGCTCCTTTCTCTCTCTCTGTCCTCTCTTTTTAAATTTTTACTATGGCATTTCCAGATGTCCCAAATGTAGAGAGAACAGTACGAGGAACCCGATTTCTCCACCACTGCGCTTGCTCTGAGCTTCATAAGAGCCCGCCAGGTCTGAGTAATGCCGCGGTGTTAGTCTGGAAGGACGTTTAGAAATCTGTTCTCATGAAAAGAAAATGCCAAACCGGTTGCCCTTTGGTGTTGGAGGGAGTAAGAGGCCTTCGATAAGAGCTCACCTTCTCAGCTCAGTATCATGGAAGGCCACGGGCCCTGCAAACAGTAGGTGCTCAGTAACTGTTTGTCGAATGCAGGAGTGAATGAGTCGGCCCTGTATGCAAACAGGATGCTCCTGGGGAAAGGGGGCTCAGCCCATCGTGGGCTCCGGGCTCCCACCCAGCCCCGCCTTCCTGCCCCGGTGCCTTTGCACGTGCTGTGCTCTGCCCGGGGACCCCCGTACCACGGGCCACAGGCAGCAGGCTGGAAGGGGCTCACGGCACCCCTCAGCCCCCGTTGCTGGCTCCTCAGGGGTGTTCATCTTGACTTGCCTGTCTTGCCCTCAACCCCATACTCCGATGCCCCTTCTGGGCCAGCTGGCCAGAGCTGAGGTAGCGCACCCCCTGCCCGGCCAGCCCGAAGCCCTGTCACCAGCGGTAGGCACAGGTGCGCCGACAGGCAGGAGCCCCCCCCCCGCCACGCCCACTGTTAGGAGTGAGGGCAGGGCCCAGGGAGGCAGAGGGAGCCCCCGGTGCGGGCGGGGCCTGTGGGGATGAGGAGCAGGGCGTGGACCTGGGGCGTGTTTGCAGCGGCTGCTGGAGACCTGCTGTGTCCCTCTGCGGGCCAGAGCGTTCTCCTTCCCGGATGCCAAGTCCGACTCACACCGTCCCACCAGGTGTGGCAGGACACGTCCTGGGTCCCCCTGATGCACCTGGTGGCCTCCCCCACCCCCATAGGTCTCCCGGCCCCTCATGCACCCCTGGGCTGTCACCTCTGTGTTGGGACTCGGGGACCCCCCCCCTCGGCCCCAGCCCTTTCCCCGGCCCCACCTGGAGCCTCTGCCGACCCAGTGGCGATGACCCAGGCAGTGGCGCCCACGCACCGAAACCCCGGGGAGAGGTCTGGGTTCAGAGGCCCAGCTGTGCCCCCGGCTTGGTGACAGATCGATGTGCCAGGAGCGTGACACTTCCTAGCTCCACGGGAGATGCCACGGAAGCTCCGTGTCCAGGACCCTCCCAGACCTCGCCCTACGTGTCCCCTCACGTGGCTGGTCTTGGGCCTAGCGCTTTCCTGCGTTCTGTGAGTCGTTCTAGCAAGTTAGCAAACTTGAGGGGTGGTGGGAGCCCCCAGATCTGCAGCCAGCTGGTCAGAAGTGTGGGCGGCCTGGCGGTTGAAGCGTGGGCAGTCTCAGCCTGCCACGTGTGGCCTCAGCCCGGTAGGGCCATTGTCACTGCAGACGGGATGTGGCTGTCGGAGCCCTCGCTGGCTCTGGGGGGGGCGTGGGGGCGTGGGGCTGGGCCAAGACCTCCCCACCCCCCTCATCACTGTCCTTTCCCAGTCTGGGGCCCGGCCGGGGCCCTGTCTTGTCCTTTCTCTGAGAGCTGAGAGCACGGTGGGCCCTCGACGAACGCTCGCTGAGCTGAACTTCGTCGGCCAAAGTACTCAGCACGGGCCTCTGCCTTCTGCTGGTCTCCTTCCGGAGCTGGCGCCTTGCTTTTGACCTTTCCATGCTGATGCAAGCTGTCTCTTCCGGCCCTGGGGGCCTTTAGTTCCTCGTTTCTTCAGTCGCTGCATGAATGATCATAGCTTTAGAAGCAGAGTTGTTCTTTCCCCTTCGCCCCACAGGGGCCAAGGTCAGCCGTGGAACCCTGGCCAGCACGAAGCAGGAACGGTTTGGAAAACAGTCTGCGCTTTCAGGCACAGCCCTCGAAGGTTTTGTGCCCGAAAACTCCCATTTGGCAAGGGAAGCAAATAAACATGTGGGTTCAAGTGCGACCGTTTCAAACAGGAGCTTTCTAAACAAACGGAAAGCATGCCCGGAATTCCTAAGGAACCTGTGCGAGGAGGAGAAGGACGCTGCATTTGGAAGCTGTGAAATTACTCTAGAATTCTGATCACCAGAGCGGCTCCCAGGTTCCTGGGAGGAATCGGATGCGTGTCCTAAATAAAATGCAGCTCCCCGGGCAGCAGCCGGTGAGGACATGAGAGGGCTCACACGCTATGCATGCGGGTATGCATGCGCCTGCATGTGTATGTGCATGTGTGTGCATGTGTGTGCATGTGCCTGCATGTGTATGTGTGCCTGTGACAGCATGGGTGTGTGTGCATGTTTGTGTGGGTGTGTGTCTGTGCATGCATGTGTGCATATGCCTGCATGTGTGTGCATGTGTGTGCATGTGCCTGCATGTGTGTGCATGTGCCTGCATGCGCATGTGCATGTGTGCTGGTGTGCACGTGTGTGCCTTGTGTGTGCATGTTCATGTGTGTGTGAGTGCATGTATGAGTGCATGCATGCACGTTCATGTGTGCATATGCATGCCTACATGTGTGCAATCTTGATCCATGACCTTTCACATCTTCCAGGGTGAGAAAGCTGTGCTGTCCTTTGTCATTTCAAGGACACGCTCTGAGAACAGATGTAAACACTAACAACAAAAGTGAGTTTGAAGTCACGTATGTTTCTAAAAGGGTCCCCTTCAGGTTCCTGATGATCTTTCTTTATTTGGTCCTTCGGTCAATCGGTGATTATTGGACGTAGTTCGGGACTGAGCAGGACAGCGTCCTGCCCTCAGGGGCCTTCTGGTCCAGGGAAGGAGGAGGCCGCGTGAGCCTGACAGTCGGGGTAGGCAAGGGGGTGGGAGGACGGTGTGGGGGCTGGGAACAGCGCTCGGACACACCAGGCAGACAGAAGGCGGCATGAGAGGCCGGGAGACCCCAGGGCAGTGGGGCGCGGCTTGTAGGGTGGGAGGAGAGGAGGCTAGGGCTTCAGCGTGCTGGGTGAGCAGCTGGGACTTTCTCCTAAGGACAGCAGGGAGCCACTGACGGTGGCACCCGGCGGCAGCCCGGCCGAGTCTGGGGGAGACACGCAGGCTGACGCCCACAACGGCTCCTGGCTGGGTCTCGGCGCCCGCCCCCGGGGAGAGCCGGGGTGTGTGGGCAGGCAGCGAGGAGCCCTCGTCCGGGTGTGTCAGTCTCCCAGGGCTGCCGGAACAAAGCGCACAAACGACGCACGTGTTCTCATGCCCGGTTGTGGAGGCCCGCTTGTAAGTCCGCAAGCAGGGTGTCGGCAGGTGGCTCCGACATGCACGCCACGTTCCTGGTGGCTGTGGCTGTCCTTGGTGTCCCCGCCTTGTGGCCGCGTTGCTGCGATCTCCACTTCCACCGTCACCTGGCCGCCTTCCCGGGGTCTGTTCTCAGGTCTCCTGTCTCTTAGGAAGTCGTTGGATTTGGAGCCCACCCTGAATCCAGGATGGTCTCATCTTGACCTTTAACTAATTAGATCTGGAACGACCCTGTTTCCAAATGAGATCACATTCTGAATTCCAGGTGGGCATGAGTTTTGGGGCTGGGCAGCATTCACCACGGCCCCAGGTCAGAGGCGGCTGAGCCTCCCTTGGCCCGTCCCCAAGGTCCACCCTCAAGGCCAGCGCTGCCCGACAGAACCTCCGTGTGGCCGAGATGTTCCTGTGCGGTCTCACCAGGGGAGGCCACTGAGCACTTGAAATGCAGCGCTGAGGAGCTGAATTTTTAGTCTTATCGAAGTTCATTTAAATTTCGGTGCCATGCCTGGTGAGCAGCCCCAGGCTGGAGGGAGCGGGTGGGCTGTCCCTCCAGTGTGAGGACAGGAAGAGAGAGCGAACCACGGCTGGGCGGAGGGGCCTGTCCCTGCTCCAGTGTCCTGTCCCCAGACCCCACCTGGGTGCCTCACGCCCCCTGGGAGATGAAGGACACCCCCCCCCAACGGGCACCAGGGCCTTGGCCCCTTTGCGTGACCTTCAGCAGAGGAGGGGACATTCCAGATGGAGCAGCTGGGGCAGGAAGATGCCTTATAAGAAATGAAGGAGCCGGACGCGGTGGCTCACGCCTATGATCCTAGCACTCTGGGAGGCAGAGGGGGGCGGATTGCTCCAGGTCAGAAGTTCGAAACCAGCCTGAGCAAGATCGAGACCCGTCTCTACTATAAATAGAAAGATGTTAATTGGCCAACTAATATATATAGAAAAAATTAGCCGGACATGGTGACGCATGCCTGTAGTCCCAGCTACTTGGGAGGCTGAGGCAGCAGGATTGCTTGAGGCCAGGAGTTTGAGGTTGCTGTGAGCGAGGCTGATGCCACGGCACTCACTCTAGCCTGAGCAACAAAGCGAGACTCTGTCTCAAAAAAAAAAAAAAAAAAGGAAATGTGGAGCCCGCTGGGCTGGGACCAGGGCCCCAGGTTGTTGTTGGCTCCCTCCCTGCCGCCCAGCATCCCTCTCTGAGCCTGTGTCACCCTCGGGTTGACACTCGGGTTGAACTCACTTGTGTCCTTGTGTGTTTAATTGTCATATGAAGCTGGGAGTGCTGGGAAGTGGGGCAGCTGCCTGGTCCCTGTGTCCCCAGCCCCGGCTACCAGATGATAAGGCTCTGAGAATCCAGGAGGTGGGGGCTGGATGTAACACCCGGGTGACAGCATGGGTTCTGGGGACACAGGCGATCAGACCCGGTCGCAGCCCGCAAGAAGGACCCCTTCCCCAGCTGTCCGGGGTGGGCCCAGGTGTGTCCAGAGACAGTTGCAGCATGGGGTGACCTGGGCCGTGTTGGAGGCAGGACGGGGTGTCAGCACTCCAGAGAGACCTCCCGAACCCCGCACCCGAGCTCGTGCCCAGGAGCCACTGTCCTCCAAGCCACCCTGGTCTCCTCCGGGGCCCTGGAGGCGGCCTGGGGGGAGGGGTGCAGAGTGGCCAGACACTGGCTTTGGAGTTAGATGTGTTCAGATGTAAATCGTCGGTGCCGTCAGCCCCTGCGTGGCTTTGCACTGCTGGGCTCAGTGTTCCCTCTGTAAGATGGGCCCGTCACGAAGGTGAACCTGGGCAGCGTGTGCAGAGTGGCGTGTTGTGGGGATACGCCGCCAGCGTCGCCTTTGAAGAACGCGGGCCAGGGGTGCCCCCGGCCCGGGCAGGGCTGGCGAGCAGGCTGCTTTGTGTTAGGTGCGGGGGTGGGGGGTCTCCAGAGAAGGCGGCGCGGAGGCTCACCTGTGTCTGCTCCCCAGGAGACGACGGCTTTGGAAGACAGGTCCTCACCTTCAGCTGCTGCCGGATGCCTCCCTCCCACGAGCTCAACCACCAGCGCCTACTGGAGTAAGTTCCCCAGCTCCTTCCCCGCTTCTCGGTCCCTCCCTCCGCCCACCTCTCACCCCCTGTGCCCCGGGCCCCTTTGTGACTTGCTGGCCGGGAGCTCGTGCTCTCCGGAGCCCACGTGAGGCCATCTGAGGACACTCCCGGTCTCCGGCCACGCGGCCGTTGCCAGCAGCAGTGTAGATAGAGCTGGTTTGGTTTTCTCTTAGCCGCCGGGGCTGTGGGTGCCTCCCTCCAGAGTCGGGGACAGTCCCCTGACCCTGGGCGTGAGGTCGGTCCCCCGGGCGAGATGGCCGCAGACCGCCAGGCCTCCCGTGCACGCCGTTCCTTGAGGCCTCCCTGGGCCTCCCTCCGGGATCGCCTTCCGGAGCCGTGCCGGTGCCCCGTGGCGCCACGGCAAACAGCCACGTGCTCGGCAGCTTACAGCGATAGAGGCGCGCTCCCCACGGCTCCGGGGCAGCAGTGCAGAGCGAGGTGTGGGCCGGACTGCGCCCCTCGCCCCAGCCCCAAGGCTCCAGGGCAGGGTGCTGCCTGCCTCTTCCTGCTCCAGGTGTCCCCAGGCGTGTCTCTGCCTCGACTCCACATGGCCTTTTCCCCTTTGCCGCCCCCTCCTCTCAGAAGGACACCAGCCCGGGGACTTGGGGCCACTCCAGTCCTGCAGGATCTCATCTTAACTAATTGCATCGGCAAAGACCCCATCTCTAACTGGGGGTCCTGCGTGGACTTGGGGGGCACTGCCCAAACCCAGGGCGAGAGTCCGGGGCCTGCTGCACTGCGGGCGGCGGCTCAGCGGCATTCGTCGGGCGCCTGCCGGGTGGGAGGCGCTGGCTCCGTGCTTGTCCCCAGCACTGCCCCGAGGGGACACGCGAGAGGGCAAAGACATGGCCCTGATTTCCCCTTCCTTGAAAAAGAGTCGTGCGAGAAATGCGCAAGTGGCCGAGGTTGGAAGTGACGCGTTCTCGGTGGCCCGGAGACTCTCGCGCCCAGGCCGGGGTGTGGGTTCTGAGAGGGGGACCTGACGGGTGCTCAGCCCCAGCAGCATTCGGGACAGCTGCAAGGGAGGGCAGGTGCTGAGGCTGCCTCTGCGGCAGGTGAGCTGGACCCGGGTGCCGCGGGAGACCAGATCAGCAGCGCTTTACACGCCAGAGCCGGCGACGGGACGGGACGGGCGCAGGTGGCTCTGGAGAGGCAGCATGGCGTGGACTTCGGAGCGGGCTGCTCGGCTCTGATCCCGGCTCTGCCCCTTGCGTGGTTCACTCACCACCTCGCCTGGCCTCCACTGACCTGTCTGTGAAATGGGGATGACAGCACGTGCCTCACAGGGTCACTGGGAGGATCGAGTGAGCGAAGCACGCGTGGGGGCTGCGGTTCAGAGGGTGTGGCTCCTGCCTGGGCGCTCTGATGCTGTTTGGCCAAGGAGGTGCAGGGTTCTCAGCGGGGCGAGGCCAGCTGGGCACCTGCGGGTGGGCGGAGGCTGCTGGGGTTCTCTCCTGACCGCACGGCACCCAGCCACAGCCTAGAGCAGCCAGGCCTGCCTTCCGGGAGAGCACCTGGCCGGATTCATTACAGGGCGTGCCCCAGGTGATGACACGGGGCACCTGGTGGGAGGGGCCCCCGGCCAGCAGGACGGTGCAGGGTGGGGTGGTCCTCCCGCAGCCCTTCCTCCTGCAGGTGGCGGGCCAAGCCCATTCCGTGGGTGACGTTCAGACGGCGCTTCCCAGGCGTGGCAGGGAGGATGGGGCGTGGTCAGTGGGGAATGGGCCGCGCTGACGGGAGGCCGGGCGGTCTGTGGCCATCTCGCCCGGGGGACCGACTTCACGCCCAGGGTCAGGGGACTGTCCCCAACTCTGGAGGGAGGCACCCACAGCCCCGGCGGCTAAGAGAAAACCAAACCAGCTCTATCCACACTGCAACAGCCACAGGAGCTGGTCGGGTGACAGGTGCCGAGCAGGCTCAGGCTCTGCCTTTGCAACGAGAAGCCAAACGTTAGGGGGCTCATCTGGAAAGGACTTGCTTGCATTAGAAATGAAGCAGAACGGGCCGGGCACGGTGGCTCACGCCTGTAATCCCAGCACTCTGGGAGGCCGAGGCGGGAGGATTGCTTGAGCTCAGGAGTTCGAGACCAGCCTGAGCAAGAGGGAAATCCCATCTCTACTAAAAATAGAAAGAAATTAATTAATTGGCCAACTAAAAAATACATAGAAAACATTAGCCAGGCATGGTGGCGCATGCCTGTAGTCCCAGCTACTCCGGAGGCTGAGGCAGGAGGATCGTTTGAGCTCGGGAGTTTGAGGTTGCTGTGAGCTAGGCTGACGCCACGGCACTCTAGCGCGGGCAACAGAGCAAGACTCTGTCTCAAAGAAACGAAGCAGAACGGAGAGGAGAAAGGGCCTGAGGTGTTGGGGAGCACAGCAAGGGCTGAGCCGGCAGACAGTCCTGGGTTCGAGTCCCAGCTCGCCCTCTGTCCTGGCTCCCTGGGGCTCCCATGACGGTGCACAGAGATTTCTTCTCTCAGGGGGAAGCGTGTTTGCTTTCGGTAAGCGGGTGGTGTTCGTAACCGAGTCTCGTGCTTTGCGCCCAGGTATCTGCAGTACACGCTGGACCAGCACGTGGAGAACGACTACACCATCGTCTACTTCCACCACGGGCTGGACAGCCGCAACAAGCCGTCGCTGAGCTGGCTGCAGAGCGCCTACGAGGAGTTTGACAGGAAGTGCGTGTTCCCGAGCCTCCGGACGTCAGTGCAGGCACAAGGGACTCGTGTCAGGCCACAAGGGGACGTGGCGGTCAGGCCACAAGGACTCGCGTCAGCCACAAGGGATCGTGGTCAGGCCCACAAGGGGAACGTGGCCGGTCAGGCCTACACGGGACTCGGTGTTCAGGCCGCGAGGGGACTCGGTGGTCAGGCCGCGAGGGACTCGTGTTCAGGCCGCGAGACTCGTGCAGGCACGCGAGGACTCGTGGTCAGGCCGCAGAGGGGTGGACTCGGGTCAGGCCGCGAGGGGACTCGGTGGTCAGGCCGCGAGGGGACTCGGTGGTCAGGCCGCGAGGGGACTCGGTGGTCAGGCCGCAAGGGGACTCGGTGGTCAGGCCACAAGGGTGTGGGCCGGAAGAGGCTCTGGGCCTCGGGCTGTGCGTGGGGTAGGCGGGGCTCGCCGCCTCCAGGGCAGGGGTCAGCACTCCCGTGCTTAAAGGGCCGGTCGATATTCAGCTTTCCAGGCCTTCCGTTCTGTGGCAGCGACTCCACTCTGCAGGGCCGTGTTTCCAGCAAAATTTTATTTATAAATGCTGAATGTGAATTTCGTGTCATTTTCACACGTCAAGAAACGGTATTCTTTCTTTCCTTCCTCTTCCTTTTCCTTTTTGCTTTCTCTGGCTCTGTCCACCCAGGCAGGAGTGCAGTGGCATGATCGTAGCTCACTGCAACCTTGAACTCCTGGGCTCAAGGGATGCTCCTGGCTCAGTCTCCCAAGTAGCTGGGACTATAGGTGTATACCACCAGGCTGAGCTAAGTTTTTAACTTTTTGTGGAGATGGGGTCTTGCTATGTTGCCCAGGCTGGTCCCAAACTCCTGTCCTCAAGTGATCCTCCCACCTTGACCTCCCAAAGTGCTGGGACTACAGGTGTGAGCCACCACATCCAGCAGAAATAGTATTATTTTGGTTTTTTTCAGCTACTTAAAAATATAAGAGCCATCTTTAGCTTGCAGACTGTACAAAGCAGGCAGCAGGCCGGATCCGGCCTGTGTACCCGTTTGCCAACCCCTGGTCTAGTGAATCGCTGGCGAAGAAACAACCGCACGACTGTTTCTTCACGGAGTGCCCTTGCTGCTTGCTTGCAACGAACGGGCTTTCTGGCGCCCTGTGTTGGTGAGGGAGGCAGCCCCATTTTAGAGAGGCGCCCCAAGTAACTTACCCGCGGTCACTCAGCTTGTGCGTGGTGGGGCAGGACCCACCCCAGGGCTCAGCCTCCCTCCCTTACCCCACGCTGCCCCCCACTCAGCTGTGGCCCGGCGTTGGCAGACTTTTTCCTGAGATGTCTCTCATCAGTATATTGCACAATGTACATACTGCACAATCACCTGCAAAATATATTTGGCTCATAGACGGCACCGCTGGTCATTAATGTCGGTACCCTAGATGCCTCTGGGTTTTCCCTCTTCTAAGATACACCCAGATTCCTTGAGGGGGACCCCCCCCCACTTCTCACTGGCCACGAATCAGCCCGGAGAAACAGACCCCACCTGAGCCTGCAGCTGTCCCTGTCCCTTCCTGGGGGAGGGGCCTGCCTCATAGTCACGGGTAACGTCCACTCGGGAGAAAGCAACAGAATTCCTTAAAGTTCAGGCACGGTGTGCCCGTGACAGATGTCTAAGTGTAGCCGGCGAGCTGGAACCAGTTGCCGGCGGCAGCGCCGAAGCAGAAGGTGACATGGCGTGGAGCCGTGGGCGCTGGCACAGTGATGAGCGGAGGGAGGGCTCCAGTCGGCGGCCACTTAACCTGGGCTGGAGGGCACCAGGCAGAGGGGGAGGAAGGCCGTGGGCCTGGTCTTCAGGTTGTCAGGTGGAAGGAGGTGGCTGTGTTCTGTTGTGACTGTCCCCTTGCTGGGGGTGGGGCAGGGCTGGGGGTAGAGATTTTGACTCGGTGGAAGCAAGATGGAGGACGCTGTGAGTGTCAAAACCATCCAACCATGGGGCGTCTGCAGGGGGTGGTGAGTTTCCTGTCTCTGGAGGTATGCAAGTGGAGCTCAGAATCCGATTAGATGAGATTTCTGCAGTGAGCGTTTTTGGTCTGCCGTTGCCGTGTGCCGCTGGGTTTCCCACTTTTCTGTCTTCTCTGCTGTTGGCTTCTCACCCTCCAGGCCATCCTGCTGGGTCACCCCTTTGGAGGGGACACTGGTTCCCGCACAAGTGTTCATGTCCCACTTCCAGGAGTGCTGGCCTCAGCAGAGGGCTCCCGCCATGGGGGCACCTAATGACGGCCCCTGCAGCTCAGTCTGAGGCTGGACTTGGTGGCAGCCGCCCACTGGGCTCCTGGGCAACCGGATGTCACTGCCAGTTGCCCCTGCCCTGCACCCAGAGCCTGTTTGAAAAATAATTAACTAGCATTTCTTGGGGAGAAACTGTGAGGCTACAAATGTCCTGCTCTTATGCAAAATTGTATGTAGTACTTTTTGTTTTGTTTTAGTTTGGTTTGGTTTTTTTGAGACAGTCTCACTCTGTTGCCCAGGCTAGAGTGAGCGCCGTGGCATCAGCCTAGCTCACAGCAACCTCAAACTCCTGGGCTCAAGCGATCCTCCTGCCTCAGCCTCCCGAGTAGCTGGGACTACAGGCATGCGCCACCATGCCCAGCTAATTTTTTCTATATATATTAGTTGGCCAATTAATTTCTTTCTATATAGTAGAGACAGGGTCTCGCTCTTGCTCAGGCTGGTTTCGAACTCCTGACCTGGAGCAATCCTCCCGCCTCGGCCTCCCAGAGTGCTAGGATTACAGGCGTGAGCCACCGGTCCTGGCCTGTATGTAGTACTTTTAACCTTCACTGCTGCGTCTTGGCTTAATTACTACTGCGATGGCCAAATGGCGATTTCAATCGTTAGTTGGCATTTTACTGTGAGGAAGAGCTTTTCCTTCTCTTTGCTTATTCGTATCAGTACGGACATGAGACTTCATATTTTATTCAGTGGGCTATAGTCCATTGCTGTCATGATTTAACGATCAATTGTTCCAGATTTTGCTCCCTGGGCGTCCCTGCAGGCCACCCCCGGGTCCTGACACGCCCCCGCCACTCTTCCTTCCCTTCCCAGTACCAGGCTCCCCACGCCCATCTTTCATTTTCTCACCCCAGCCCAGGAGGCGCCAATGCCCAGGGCGCCCTGGTCCCTGCAGTGGGGAACTCCTCGGGAGACCACGGTCCGGACACGGGCAGCGCTCGCTGCCTTTAGCACATGTACTGACACACCCGGATACACGTCGCCATCCGTGCTCACGGTTGCCTCTGTCCTGGCACGCTGGGAGGCCCGGGTTCCCACGCCAGGGGGCTCGTCTGTGCCCCCCTCTCCATGCGTGGACCTCCCTCACCCAGCCTGGGCTCCAAAGCCCCACCTGGGCTGCGGGCCCCTCCCCCCCTCCCCCCTCCGCTCAACGCCCTCCACGTGCTCGGGCTCAGGCGCCTCTTGCTGGGCCTGTCGCTGCCCGCCCTGCCCACTCCGTCCTGGGTCCGGCCTGGTGGTTTAACGACCGGCTCTTGGGCACGGCGTGGGGGCTGGCTGGCACCGTCTGCGTGTTTCCGTGGTGTGAGTCCTGCCGCCCTGGCCAGTCTCAAGCTACCAATGTGACATCAGTGGACAGAGTCGGGAAGAGACGGTCAGGGGCCACCTTCGTGCAGGTGTCCCCCACGTGGCTGCCACAGACCCGCGTGTGCTCTGCAAGGTGTGACGTGCCACGTGCGTGCATGCGTGCGTGGGACGAGGGCGCCCCACTTTCCCCAGGTTCAAGCCCCTTCTGGTTTTTGTTGGAGTCCCTTAAGTTGACCCTGATGAGAAAAACGTGGTTGAGGCGACGCCTACGGTCATCCGGCTCAGGGTGCGTCCCTGGGTCTAGAGGCCGGAAGTCATCTCGCGCTCCCTCCGCAGATACAAGAAGAACTTGAAGGCGCTGTACGTGGTGCACCCCACCAGCTTCATCAAGGTCCTGTGGAACGTCTTCAGACCCCTCATCAGGTACGGGCCGCTCTGGGTGAGGCCCTCACGGGGGTGGGAGCTCTCCGTCCTCGATGTCCCCGGGCCCCTGGCCAAGCACCATGCAGATCCCATCTCCTGCGCCCATGCGTCTTGCCGCCCCGCCCACCCTGCGGGGGTCTGCGGTGGGTCGCAGGCCACCCCGGGGTCATGCAGCGTGACCCACTGAGGGTCATGGACGACAGTGCCGGCCTGAGACGCTGCTGAGGTTCACACCTGGTGTCTGAAGTCCTCCCTTGGCCTGAGCACGCACTGTCACCATGCCATGCTAGGCGGATGCACAGGTCTCAGGCCGCTGTTCTCACTGCCGGGGTCTATTACAGAGGAAGGACTCGGGCACGTTTGGGCAGAGTCCCACATCTGGGTGGAGCTTCCAGCCGCCCTCTCCCTGTGGCTCCTCCGGACGGTGCAGCGTGTGCCGCAGCAGAGCATCCTGCTAAGCAGGGAAGCCCCCCGTGCCCGTGTCCAGGTTTCTCGGGGGTCGGTCACACAGGTGTGGGGCACACACACAGCTGTCCTGAGTTGCTCGGCCCCTCCCGAAGTCAGCCTGGTACAGCCCGGGCCCCACATGTCCCACTGGTGGCACGGACTGTGTGTTGTGACCCACAGCCTCAGGTGTGCACAGAGACCCCGTCTCAGGCAGGTGTTCCACAGACTGCGAGACCGTCCAGGAGCAGGCCGAGGCCATGCCTCCCTTTGGAAGGCTCAGGGTTGGGACGCCCCAGTCCTGCCGAGTTAACCCTTTACCGCACAGCAGCCCAAATAAAGCCACAGCCCAGTGGCCACCTCCTCCGGCTTCCTCCACATTTAGGCTCTTTCCTGCTGGACAATTTCTGCCTCAGTGTTGGGAGCATGAGCTCAAGGGGATGATGAGAACCCGGAGCCCTGCCAGGGGCATGGGGCATCCTTTCTGTCCTCCCAGCGTGGCCCTGTGCTTCAGGCACTAACTGTGCACACGGAGCCGCACCAGCAGGGTGGGGCCCTGAAGAGACCCACAGACGCGGTGCCTGAGTGGGGCTGAGTCCCGGCCAGGCGTGCACTCGGATGGGTCAGGGCAGGCGTGCACTCGGATGGGTCAGGGCAGGCGTGCACTCGGATGGGTCAGGGCACTCGGACGAGGTGGCTGCATCCGTGAGGCGGGTGGAAGGACCCTGGGAGGAGGAGGGTCCTGGACCCACCTCCTTCCTCTCCCCATCCCAGCCCCCCAGAGAGCGTGGGGAGCTCGGTGCCCGGGCACCTGCCTGTCTCCCCGTGAGATGACTGCTCCCCAAGGGCTCAGCACCCACCTCGCCCTGTCCCTGTGTCTGTCACTGCACCTAGCACTCCGGGGAGTGTTGGCAAGCGCCAGTCCCTGTGGGGGGAGCTGCCCCGCCAGGTGGGTCAGAGCTTGTCCTTCCCCACCAGCCGCCAACGCCATCATCCCAAAGGCCCTGAGAGGCTCCACTGGGAGAATTCCTGAATCATCGGGCTTGAGTGGCGCCCGGTTAATACGAGCCAAGGAACTCGCCTGGTTTTACTAGAGTTCCCCGCCCGTGGTTCTCACCCAGTTGCAGACACACAACTATCAAAAGGTGGGGTTTTGTGTGTTGTGTGTCTAACCAGGACTCACATCCCAGTGTCGCATGTGCCGTGGTTGACTTCTGGGCCTGTGGACAGTTATGTAGTACGGCAGGGTCCCTCGGCCCTCAGTGGGTTCCTCCCGTTTGCCACGGAGGGGTGGGAAGCACGCGGCAGCCCTGGAGAGAGCCCCTGGCCTCCTTCCAGTGGGGCCAGACAGTCCCTGAGCCGTGTGGAGTCCGAATGAGCAGGTGGCAGGGCCACTGCTCACCAGCCCCTTCCCCAGGGCCCTGGGGTGCGGGGACTCGGGCAGGCCTCCCTCCCTCCCCGTCCTTGGGGTGACGTGCACACCGCACTTTGGCGGCTCTACTGTGGCCTCAGCCTTCGCCCCGATCCCCTGCCTGCTGGGCAGCATCCTTGAGTATAGAGACCTGGTGGAAGCCACTGTGCAGGTGACCTGGGGTCCCAGAACCGGGTCTGACTCTCCCTCGTCCACTAGGAGGAGCCGGTGCACACGGCTCGGCCTCCCGGGGCCTGGGCTCCGGTCCAGGCGGCTGCTGGGGAGCCAGCGGGAGGGGGTGGACCCTGGCTGGGAGCCGGCGCCCGGCCAAGCGTTTTACTTCTGCCCTCCCATTTGCTCCTCCCGACTCCGTTTGTGTTTTTGCTTTTGCAAAGGTAATTTGGATTATTTTAATTTCACAATGTAAATACCATTGAGAATATGTGAGTGCTTATATTAAGACTTGCAAATTGACATAGAAGTTAGCGCCAAATATCTTTGGTTTTGCCGAACACGTAACTTTCCTGGTAACTATACGATTCTTTGCCCACGTTAATAGCTGTGCACCTTACACAGATACAATAAGGAAGTGATACTGTTCTAAGAAAATAAGCCCAGACCGTCGCGCAGAGCGCTGGCTTGGTTCCGTGTGGAGCTTTGCTCCCTGACATCCGTTGGCGACCCCCATCCTGCTGCCGGCGCTGAGCCTCGCTAAGAACGCTGACAGTCGCTAGTCTGGCAGGTGTCGGGCAGCAGTCGGGCCCATGCGGTCCTCTCGCTGTGTCTTGCCCCCCCCTTGCTTGGGAGGGGAGCCCCGCTTTTCACAGGGGAGCAAGGCCCCGAGGGGTGGCGTGACTTGTCCCAGGTACGAGGGAGTTGCTGGATTCGGCCGGGGCTGGTCTGGCCTCGCAGCTGACGTGCTCCCCTGGGGTCTCCAGAGAGCCGAGACTGTGGGGACAGACCTGGAGGGTCTTTGGTCCCAGCCCCCAGGGACACTCTCAGGAGGTGGCCAAATGTGCAGCCGTCACGGACCCCTGAAACCACAGGGGACCGAGGCTGCCCTGCGGTGGGCTTCATCCTCAGGGCCCCTCCCTGCTGGTGGCTCAGCACCCCGCTCCCTGCACCCCTGCACCCCAGAACAGAGCCCCCTGCACTCCCATGCCATCTCCCCTATGTATCTGTGCGAATCCGGGGCAGATTCAATTGGGGGGAGATGTTTATGCGGATGAGTCTCCCCAGAGTGCCTGGTGCACGGAGATCTCACGTGTGCTGCTCTGTCATTGCAGGTTTACGGTGTGTCAGCGTTTACGTTTCCTTAATATGAAAATGCCCACGTTGTGCCTTCCAGTCTCCTGTCGCCGACCCCCTCCTCCCCGCAGCCCCGTCTCTCTGCCCCGCCTAACCGTGTTTTGTTCGGCTTCTGCTTCTCAGCCGCAAGTTTGGGAAAAAGGTCACCTACGTCAACTGCCTGAGTGAGCTCCGTGGGCACCTCCCGCGCGCCCAGCTGCTGATCCCCCCGGAAGTCCTGCGGTGAGTGCCCGTCAGCCCCGTGCCGGGAGGCCGGCGTGAACCCACCTTCGAGCGTCCGACGGTCTCGGTCCCGTCCCCTGCGCGTGGAAGGCTTAGTTTCCAAACGTGCGCCGGGCCGGGCCAGTTGGCTCGGAGATCCGTGGCGTCGGCAAAGCCACGCGTTAAGGAGGCCGACTGCTGACTCGGGGGAACGCCCCCCCCCGGGGGCTCTGCGCAGGACGGGACGTTTCCTCGCCCACGGGAAAGCGAGCAGGGACGTGGCGGCTGCCACGCGTGAGCTGCCAGCTCCTGCCTGCATGTTCCCGAGTGCCCCGGCTGGCTCCCTGCTGGGTCCCTGCTGGGTCCCTGGCGCACACCCTGCTAACTGCTGTACGAAGCCTTTTTTGTTTGAAGGCTTTAACCTCGGCCTTCAGAGCTCACCCGTCCTCCATCATCTGTTCATCGTGGTTTCATTCACTCGTTCAACAGACATTGTTTTTTTTTTTTTGAGACAGAGTCTCGCATTATTGCCCAGGCTAGAGTGAGTGCCATGGCGTCAGCCTAGCTCACAGCAACCTCCAACTCCTGGGCTCAAGCGATCCTCCTGCCTTAGCCTCCCTCCCGAGTAGCTGGGACTACAGGCATGCGCCACCATACCCAGCTAATTTTTTCTATATGTATTAGTTGGCCAATTAATTTATTTCTATTTATAGTAGAGACGGGGTCTTACTCTTGCTCAGGCTGGTTTTGAACTCCTGACCTCGAGCAATCCGCCCGCCTCGGCCTCCCAGAGAGCTAGGATTACAGGCGTGAGCCACCGCGCCCGGCCTCAACAGACATTTTAAGCGAGCACCTACTGTGCCACAAGCCCTGTTCTAGGCACCAGGGGAAGAGCCAGGTCCCTCTAGCACCGGGTCCCTCCAGCTCTTGTCGTAAATTCAGCCGCTCAGGAGACCAGGTGGCCGTGCCCGCCTTCTGGGCTGACCTCGTGGCTGGAGGGTCAGCCTGTTCTGCTGGCCGGGTGGGGCCCCTGGCCAGGGGTTGGCGGGAGAGAGTGGGCATTTGACGGGGGTGGGCTGTGCTTCCTGCCTTTTGTGTGAACACCCCATGGCAGTGGGGGTGGTGGGGGTGTGCACGGTGACGGGACACTCAGGTGTCCCACAGATGTTCGTGGGGCATCCATTTCCCCACCCCCACCCCCAGCACCTGGAAGTGGCCTCCGTGGCCTGAGGGTTCTCCCTGCCAGGTGAGAGTCGTGCTCCTGCTGTGTCCACAGGTACGACGAGAAGCTCCGGAGCCTGCACCAGGGCCGGCCGCCTCCTGCCATGAAGACGCCGCCGCCAAGGCCCCCTCTGCCCACCCAGCAGTTTGGCGTCAGCCTGCAATAGTGAGTGGGCCTGAGCCCCGGGGCCTGCTCCTGTTCCCCGGAGCCTGGGACACTTCTTTGTCCGGGGACCTTTTCCCCAGACCTTCGCCGCAGCCAAGCTTAACCCCCCAGGAAAAGGGAGGCAGGAGGCGGGGGCCTCGCTGCTCTGTGCCTGAGTGCAGGGTCGCGCCCTCCTGAGGCCCTGCCCTCCAGGTATCCAGCAGGGCTCGGCTCCACCGCCTTGGAGGGGGTGTGGTCACGGGACGTCGAGCCTGGAGGAAGCTCTTAGAACCGGTGGGCAGTGACCTCCCTCCGTGGTGACATGGCAGCCCAGGCCAGACGGCGAGTCCTCCCTCCGCATCCCCGAGTGGCCGTAGCACACGCCCTGCCGGCACCCAGACGGGACACGGGCCACGGTGGGGACAGGCTTGTGTGCTGGGTTCCCCTGCTGAGATTTAGGGGCTGTTGTCACCGCAGCATAACCTGCTCTTCCTGATGCCCTGTGTGGTTGGCCCGTGACCTTGAACTCACCCCTCCTCCCAGCTCGTTTTCCTATTCCTGAGATGAACGTGTCAGACCACACGATCATTAATCTTTAACGACTCCTTAAACCGTTCTGTGCCCCCGTCCCTCCCCAGCATGGCCAGGCCAGTGTCACCCGTCTTTTGTGATTTGGTCTCGGCAGCACCTCCTCCAGGAAGCCTGCCCTGATGCCCTGGGCTGCACGCAGAGCCGTCCCCCGTGGCAGCCCCGAGCTGAGCAGGCCGCTGCGGGGAGTTTCTCTGACGGGCGGGCGGGCGAGGGAGACGTTATGCCCCACTCCGCCGTGGGCCAGTCTGGTGGGTCGCACCCCGGGCCGGAGAGATGCCGGTGCGTCCTGGAGCTCAGTCTGCTCATGTCCACGCGAGTCATTTGTCGTTAGAGACTCGCGGTGATTTGGCTTTTTTACGATAAAATCTGAAATCTGTAATGCCAGGGTGGACTTCGAAACACGTTGAAAGGTTTTGAGAACCGAGGGGGCACCGGGCTGGGGGAGGAGGTGCATAGCCCACTCGCCCCTCCCACGGGCTCCGGAGTCGGGCAGGGGGAGCGGAGGCAGAGGAGGGGACATGCACGCCCTGACCCCGGACCCGTGCGCAGGTCGCCTTACGGGCAGCAGGGACTTTGCGGCTGTGATTAAGTGGAGGATCTTGGGACGGCCTTCCTGGGTTATCGGGTGGGCCCGAGGCAATCACGGGTCCTCATGGGAGTGGGGGGAGGGTCAGAGTCGGAGAAGGCAACGTGCCACGGGAGCGGCGTCGTGGCCGTGGCGTGGGCCAGGAGTCAAGGAACCAGGCGGCGCCTCTAGAAGCTGGAGGAGGCGAGGAATGGGTTCTCCCTGGGGTTTCCGGGAGGGGCGTCCCTGCATCCACCCGTTTTAGACTTCTGGTGCCTCTAGAACCGCAAGGGAACAAATCTGTGCTGTTTGGAGCTACTACATTACTGGTAATTAATACGGGGTGGCGGGCGGCGGGCGGGTGTGCAGGGTGGGGACAGGAGTGTGAGCGTCCCGGAGCGAGGCGGGTGTGCCCCCAGGCAGCGTGAGCCTGGCAGGGGCGGGGCCCGGCGTGCAGGTGCTGTGGGGCATCTTGTTCCCCACACAGGTGTCCTTAGAGCAGCACTGTCTCTTTCTGTTTTCCTTTTTTTTTTTTTTTTTTTTTTTTTGAGACAGAGTCTCACTGTGTTGCCCAGGCTAGAGTGAGTGCCGTGGCGTCAGCCTAGCTCACAGCAACCTCAATCTCCGGGGCTCAAGCGATCCTCCTGCCTCAGCCTCCCGAGTACCTGGGACTACAGGCATGCGCCACCATGCCCGGCTAATGTTTTTCCATGTATATTAGTTGGCCAATTAATTTCTTTCTATTTATAGTAGAGACGGGGTCTTGGTCTTGCTTAGGCTGGTTTCCAACTCCTGACCTCAAGCAATCCACAGGCCTCGGCCTCCCAGAGTGCTAGGATTACAGGCGTGAGCCACGGCGCCCGGCCCAGCACTATCTCATAGATGGCCGTGGGCTGCACACAGTCTAATACGGCAGCCACTGGCCACATGTGGCTAGTGCAGTTGAAGCCCTGAATTTCTAACTTTATTCAGTTTTAACTAGTTTGCATTTGAATAGCTGCGCGTGGCTGGGGACTGCCACGTCCGACAGCACAGCTCTGACCGTTGCGTTTCACCCCCTCTCCCCCGCCAGGCACACCCGGGGAGAGTCACTTAGGCGTTGTGTAAGCACTTTGCCAACAGCTCAGCACGGCAGTGTAGTACGTGTTGACATGCAGTGCACCCCCAGATATATCTGGGACACAAGTTTTACTGCCAAACGGAACTTCCTCTTCCTTTTCTAAACACTGTGCTGTTGTGACTCACTCATCCGCCCCTAATGGCCCCCCAGGACGGCAGGGCCAGGCAGGCACCTGCAGTGACGGTGGGCCCCTCTGGGGGTCGCTGCCGAGAACTTGGCCCTCGGGGACCAGGCCCAGGGAGCCCCCAATAGCAGCCCCCAGGATTGTCAAGCCATCCAGTGACCGTTTTCCCACGTTTCTGAGGCCTCTGTGCCTCCAGCCGGACGCTGGTTCTGCGGGGCTGGTTCTGCCCCCGGGGCTGGTTCTGCCCCCGGGGCTGGTTCTGCGGGGCTGGTTCTGCCCCCGGGGCACGCTCATCACAGGGTCGGGGCTGGTTCTCAGCCGGGAGGCTCCAGCCACGCCTTTCTGATCATCTGACTTCTTGTCCAGGGCACTTCTGTCTTACCATCCAACGAAACTTTAAATGTGAAAACCAAAAACCGAAAGCAAGCGTAACTCGGACTTCTAAAGCCGTCCCCGCGAGGCAAGCGTGGAAGCGTCGCTATTTGCGTTCCGAGCAGGTGCCTCTCAGAATGTGTTGACGGCAGGGAAGCTGTCGGTTTCTGCTTTAACTGTCACCTGGCAGGGTCCATCCCTGCTCCAGGGCCAGGGGACAATGAGTGACACTGGACGGCCTTTGAAAAACATTCTGCGTGCGCCACTTTGGGAGATGATCTACGTGATTGCCTCTTTCCGTTAATATTTTATGCTGTTTCATTGCCAACGATTATAGTAAAGCAGCAGTAAACATATTTTTAAAAGCACCAGATATGTAATTTGTTTGGACTATGAATGAATGAAAAGTCATTAAAATTCATAACCGAGTCCTATTCATAAATGTTAATCTGCTGAGTTCAGTTCAAAAGCGTGCAACAGAAAGCTACCACCTTGGAACGAGCTAATTAAGTTAATATATTAAGGGGAAGTCAGCGATTCAAGGTCTTCGCTGGCTCACCGTCCCTGAAGGGGGAAATTAGACACATCCGAGTTCCGCCCAGGCAGCCGTGGGGGGTGGAGAGCTCCGGCCTCCTTAGGGGAGGTCACACCTGAGCTTTGGCACTTTCCAGCTTTGGGGAGTCCACTTAGTGACAACTTCGTGTCCCAGTTTCTTCCCCTTACTGGAACCCCCAGGGCCCGCGGGAACTTACCCCAGGGTGCGTGGCCTGCTCTTCCTCCAACGCCACCACCCCCTCCTCCAGGAAGCCGCCTCTGATGACGCCACTTGGAGTAGGACGTGAGCTGCTCCTGGGATACTTGTGTGTGACACAGACCCCCGCGTTCTCAAGGCCTAGCACCGAGCAGGATTCAGGGACTGGATGAGGGACTGTCCTACAAGTGGGTCCAGGACACTGCCAGCCCTGGGATTATCTTTTTTTTTTTTTTTTAAAGTATGCAATTCAGTGGTTTTTAGTATATTAACAATATTGTGCAATCATCACCGTTACCTGATTCCGAAACATTTTATCACCATTTTACATCCCGGCCAGCAACGGATGAGAGTTCAAATTTGTCTACATAGTTGCCAACGCTTGTTACTTTTTAAGAAAATTATAGCTGCCCTAGTAGGCGTGGAGTACATATTTCATTGCAGTTTTGATTTGCATTTCAGCGATGGTTAATGGTGCCAGGCATCTTTTCGTGTGTTTATTGGCCATTTGTATGTCTTCTCTGGAGAAACGTCTATTAGAGCCTTTGTACCATTTTTTATTTGGGTTGTCTATCTTTTTATTGTTAGTTATAGAAGTTTGTCGTATGTTCAGGATAGGAGGCCCTTGTTAGATATGTGATTTGCAAATATTTTCTCTTACGCTGTGGGTTGTCATTATACTTTCTTGATGGTATCTTTTGAAGCATAAAGGTCTTAAATTTTGATGAAGTCTAATTTATCTGTTTTGTTTTTTTCTTGTTGCTTATGCTTTTAGTGTTTTATCTAAGAAACCATTGCCAAATCCCAGATCATGAAGATTTATGCCTGTTGTTTTCCTCTTGAGAGTTTTATAGTTTAGCTATTAGATTTCGGTCTTTGATCTATTTTGAGTAGAATTTGTATACATTGTGAGTTGGGGTCCGATTTGATTCTTTTGCATGTTGTTCTAGTGCCAGTTGTTTAGAAGACTATTCTTTCCCCGTTCAGTCGCCTTGGCAGCCTTGTCAGAATCCGACTGACCATAAACATGAGGGTTTGGCACTAACCCTACTTCATTGATCTGTACCTCTGTCCTTATGTTAATGCCATGCAATCTTTTTTTTTTTTTTTTTTTTGAGTCAGAATCTCACTCTGTTGCCCAGGCTAGAGTGCCGTGGCGTCAGCCTGGCTCACAGCAACCTCAAACTCCTGGGCTCAAGCAATCCTGCTGCCTCAGCCTCCCGAGTAGCTGGGACTACAGGCATGCGCCACCGTGCCCGGCTAAGTTTTTCTATATATATTTAGTTGGCCAATTAATTTCTTTCTATTTTTAGTAGAGACGGGGTCTCGCTCTTGCTCAGCCTGGTTTGAAACTCCTGACCTTGAGCGATCCTCCCACCTTGGCCTCCCAGAGAGCTAGGATTACAGGCATGAGCCACCGCACCCGGTCTCCTATATTGATTTTTAATTTCATTGCATTTTGGTTGGAGAACTTACTTTGATTTAATTCTTTTTCAAT